CAGTGTTACGACAGCGGAAGTCACGTGATTCTGGGAGCATGCACGCTAGAGTTTCTCGAATGATCATGAATTTGCCGGGCAGCTCAAGTGTGATCTAGATGCCCCTTTTTTTAGTATATAAGCCTGGCAAAGAAAGCCAGCTGGAGACAGATAATTGAGTCAACTGAACAGTAGTGAAGGGAGCCATAAATTGTGTGTTTTGCAGTCGTCGCATAGAGTGAAGTTATTGAGCTTGTGAATCGCTGTGATTTATGGCATGTATTATAAAAGTTGTTAAGTAAAGAGATGAGAAACATATTTACTGTGGAAATTTTGTATCGAGAAAGAATAAACTAGTTTTAATGGAGAAAGGACTTGTATCGCTGAAGTTTCTTGGAAAGAATTTCTACGGGAAATTAACAAACAAGCAGATACGCAACAATAGAATAGTCTATGTTTCCACTTTCACAAAGGATATGATGAATATATAGTGGGTTACCCATTCACACTGGCAGCAATCTGTATCTGAAAGATAACCTTATGAAAACATTGGCTTAAATAAAAAATACACCTATATTTCCAGTGGCTAAATATTTGAATGCAAATTCTTTAATAATGTAAGGTGTGTGCTTCAGATAAAATCTTTTAGTTCTATAATGGCCACAGTTATATTCATTAATACTTATATATTCAGTGAAGTACCAGCTTTTATCTTCCTTGGGTATATACATTGTATTGTTATAATTGGGAAACAGTCTTGTTTTGAGGCAGATTTGTTCTGGAGTTTGTGATTTTAAATCAACATGTAACTGTTCTTATTGATATTTATCCTGGAGTTTGTGGTTTCAAATCAGTGTATTTCTATGATGCATCTTGATTAACTTCTTCGAAACTTTTTACACTAGTCAGAAACATTTGTCTCGTTATTACATTTGTTTGAGTTTTGTCTTTGACATTCTTCAACACAATAATATAGTGAAATTTAAACTAATATTACAAATTCTTCTACCTCAATGAAATAGATTCTGTACAATATAAAAAACTGATAAATTCAAATAGTAACTCTGACATGTAAAAAATTGAAGTACATATTTGTTTAATCTACTTTCACCCATAAGATCATTAATGATAAAAATATTTGGTTTATCAGACTGTGAATAATCATGAAAATTATCAGGTAACTTAATGTTTGGAATGTTTTGCAAGAATATGGTGTACAGGAGTTGGAATTCACCATAAAACTACATAATATTTTCGGAAATGAATAGCTAACAACATGATAATAGTTCAAAACTGTACTTACAAACTGAGTTTTCTCCTTCCTGTTGAAGCTGACACTAAACATGCAAATGGATGATATAGACGACTATTCATCTCGATGAAAAATAATTATATAGATTTTGTTGAGCCTGCAAACGAGAGCATAACATGTGCAAATTGATATTCAAATTATAAAAATTTTGTAGATTTGAACATAAACAAATATTAATGTGTATAAGTGTAAAATTTGTACTATCAATAATGAAACTATAAATTGCTAGGCATTTTTGGAATTTCATGCACATGGACTTAGTGTAATCTAGACTTTATACTTTGGTGTCATTCTGGAATAACCCTGATCAGTGATGTCACTAATTTCTTGAAATCACCCCATGGATATCCACTGAGATATGTGTTAATCATCTACAGCCATTTGAGTTCGAACTGACCTTTACACAGTATCAGTCTGTGTGCAAAACGGTTGTTATTATAATATTCATAGCAGGCATTTTGTATGTACACATAGTCTATTTCATGCATGTTGCATGTTCCACTATGAAACAACAAAGTTTTATTAATTTTAAATGTGTGTGAGAGTTCCTTATGTCAAAAAAATTTCTAATTACCATTTGTCTCAGTGATCTATTATTTCATACTTCAAAGTGATTACTTCATAGAAAATCATAAAGTTGAGACATCGGATGCTATGACTAAAATGATAAGTGTTGCTATTTCACTTCGTTTCTGTAATAGAAATGTTTAATTAAGCAATTGGATTTTAATTTACAGTAAGTTGTTCATTTACTATATTTAGTTGGAGCAAAATGACTTAATAAAGAGTTTAATAACTAGAGATGAAAAAATCAGACATAAGAATGAAGACAGACCATGATAACTTGAATACTGTCTTACTACTTTTTTAACGTACTATTTTATTGTTTATTTATTAATGTCTAGAGTTTGGCTCATTGAGGCTACCCCATCTATTTAATTGAAAGAAAAAAACATTCAAATCCAGCACTGATCATTCAAATATTTATTGAACCTTCCCATAAACGTCCTAACATTTACTACATCTGCAGGTAACCTATTCCAAAGTACAACTGCTTAAACTGAAGATGACTCCTACTCTGCCAAAACATATATTTGTGTCCCCAAGACTTACCATTCTGATCATTTAAATGTGAAAAAGATGATGATACATCAATAGTATCAATTCCCTTAACTGTCTTAAACATCTCAATCATTTTTCCATCTAACTCTTCTTTTTCAAGAAAAAACAGTTGCAGAGATCTTAACCTACCCTTGCCTGACAATATTTTCCTCTGAGATATCATACTAGCAGCCCTCCTCTGAACCCTTTTGAACAACTCCATGTTCTACTTAAGATAAGGAACCTAAGACTGAATGCAGTACTACAAATGTGTGATAGAGTAATATGTAATGTCATGGATGATTATATGCCACTGAACACCACATCTGAAAGTAGCAAATGAGTAGCTAGGAGGGCACTCTGGAGCCAGAAGTAAATATACACTATCTCCTAAGGCACAAAAACTGGAACAGTTAATTAACCTAATTAATTAAATACACATATAGATTAATTCAATTTGCATATCATTTACACATTACTCATCCAATCAATTAACTAGTCTATAAATAATAAAGCATAGTATGTAATGACAGATAATTACAGAAAGCAATTCCGATTATTGTCAATAACTGGAAATAATTATAGTTTAAAACACCAATTATTAACAATAATTATAGGCATGCATGAATCAGTCATATCTAATTATATATGTAATTACACATTCTCATGACAAGATGCCAGTTATTGACAATAATTATTTGCTTGCAGGAGTTAATCACATCTAATTATAGTACATAAGGACAGATTCTCAGGACATGATGCTAATTATAGCAAGGTTCGAGTTTTCCATGAACCAATCATGTCTAATTATAGTAGCTAATAACATATTCTTATGATGTGATGAAAATAATTGAAGATTATAATAGTGTTGCGTCATCGAGATCACGTGACAATTCTCACGCTCTTTGTTTCTAGAACTATCCCGTATCTTGGCAAATGGTCTAGTATTTACTAGTAGGGTAGGCTGGTATATATAAGAGGGGAAAATGTGACGCGGTAATGTAATGTAATGTGTGTGTAGATAGTGAGTAATTGAACTGCAGTCAGAAGTATTGTTGACGTTCATTGATTAGTGTTTGTTTTAGCGCGATTGTTGAAGTTAAGTGTATCGGTAAAGTTATATTCGGAAACAATAAACCAGTTTTATTAAGAAAGAACTT